CTGGGGTGGCCAAGAGCCATCTGGACCTGTTACACCAGTGGGACCGAGACATCAGCCACCCCCCAGGACCTCTGTGCTGCCCCTGGAAACATCAGGACCTGCTTCATGGATTTAAATTGGAAGAGGGGAGATTGAGGTGAGATATTGGGAAGAAATGTTTTCCTGTGCGGGGGGTGAGGCAGTGGCCCAGGTTGCCCAGAGAAGCTGTGGATGCCCCATCCCTGGAGGGGTTCAAGGCCAGGCGGGATGAGGCGTGGGGCAACCTGGGCTAGTGGGAGGTGTCCCTGCCCATGGCAGGGGGTGGGACGGGATGGGCTTTAAGGTCCCTTCCACCCCAAACCATTCTGGGATTCTGATCCGTGGGATGAGAGCGCTTAAAGGGTGAACAAACTGGGACCAGTTGGTACCACTGGGTGGCAAACCAGAGGAGAAGGGACCCGATCCTCACTTGGGCTAAAAGCCCTTTGAACCCCTCGGCGGTGCCCAGAGCTGTGCGCCGGGCGCCAGGCGGTGAGTCACTGCCTGGGCGGGTGGGGTTCCGAGGGCTGGAGAAACCGGGAGAACCTGCCTGTCGCCTTCCCGGCAGCTCCGCTCCCCTCCCTCCGCCCCAGCACTCCAGAGGCTCCTTCCCTGTCCCTTTCCTTGCCTGGGAAAAGCTGGGATCAGTCCCTCACCCCCAGTCCACGATGAGTTCTGCCGCGATGCCCGCGCACAGGAGGATGCTCCCGGCCAGGCGCATCCCCCAGCCCCGCGCTGGATGCTGCAGCAGCTCCCAGAGAGCCAAATCCTCCATGAAAGAGGCTCAGTGCAGGTTCCTCAGCACCGCAAAACCCAGAGAGCCAAATCCTCCATGAAAGAGGCTCGGTGCAGGTCCCTCAGTGCCGTAAAACCCAGCGGGTCGGTGGGAAGCGTTGAAGAGCCCAAAGTGCCAGGAGCCGCTGCCAGGCTCTCCCTCGGGGGTGGGAGGACGATCTCAGGTTTGTGATAAACCCGAGTGATTCCCTCTGCACTCCAGCTGCTGAAACACATCCCAGACCCAAATATCCCCGGGTTGGCCCTGGTTCTGTCCCAGCACGTGGGAAATCCTTGCTTCCCACCCACCGACCCCTCCTCAATGGGATGCATCAGCACACCAGCCCCCTCCTCTGTTTTATTCTGGAGCTGGACGGTGTGACAGGTCTGCAGCCTGGACCAAGCAAGGTGACATCCTGTGTCACCCCCCAGCAGCACCTGGGGACCGGTGCTCTCTGCACCCTCCTGGGACCAGGGTACTCACGGGGATGCTGAAAACCTGAGTCGGGTTTTCTCTGGCTGCAGTTCATCTGCTGGGAGCAGAGGTCGGGGCTGCTCTCCGGGCTGTACCGCACAAAGACAGCGAAGAGGATGATGGTGAGGATTTGGAGGAAGAAGCACAGCCCAGAGAGCCGGAGCCTGGAGGCAGGGGTGTGCTCAGGCATGTCGGTGGGGCGGCTGGGGCAAGCAAACCCCCCGAAACTGGGGACACATGAGGAGACGGCGGCAACCCCCGCCTGCCAGGGCGGCTGCCAGGTCCTGCCCTCGCCTCGGTGCTTCCCATGGGCGGAAGAGTTGTTGGTGCTGCCAACGCGGAAACCCCGGGCTGGCCGCCCCGGCACGTCTCGCACCTGGTTTTGCCGCATCGGGAGGCTCCGGCCACGGTGCTGGGGATGCTCAAGGGGTTTCTGGTGTCAGTGTCCGGCTCAGCTGGGTGCGAGGGGGTCAGGGTGGGATTTGGGGTGCAGGGGGAGCTGTGGCAGGGGGATGCCCGAGGTTTCAGCCTTTTTGGAGGTTCGGAAGGGGATAAACGGGATGGTGTGGGGGGATCAGGTCAGATGATGGTGCAGCAAGTGCGGTGGGACTGACTCTGCGGTGGTGCTGGGCTCCAGCAAGCTCAGCATCCGTTCAGATGGTTCAGGGGGATTTTGGGGTTACCTGTGGGGCTGCGTGGGGAGGAGGAGAAGCTGAGCCGTGAAAAACAAGGTCGGA